TAAAATGTGCCTTTGACATTTAGATATCAACCAAGTGAATATTCAACATTATAAAAGACAAAACAGCTGTTTTGCTGTGATGTCACTGAACAGGTGTGTGGTACCATATGACACCATAGAAAGTGGATGGATCTCTTGGGGATGCCCACAGAAAACCAGTATGGAGCTGGCATTGACACGGAACTCCTTTGCTCAGATGTGGCCAGAAAGCCACCTGGGATGACAAGAGTCCTGGTGACCAATCTGGGCAAATTAGGAGCAGACATTCTCCCAAACAGATCAATACTATCCAAGGTGCAGCTGAAAAACAGGATGGGTTTGTACCACTAAGCAAACATCAAAGCTGCTTATTCACAAAGCCAAAAGCAACTGGAACTTGTGTTTTCCACACTGTGTTTGCCAGTGACCTCAACCCTGACCTACAGGGTCACCCTCTCTGGATCTAGAAGTAATCTTCCATTGGGTCTTCTGGCCACAAGGGAAGCCTATGGAATGGTGGCATTTTTTTACTTTATCTGTGTTGACCTAACCAGACGATTGCATGATGCCAAAATGACTCATCAATGCAGTTAGTAAAGTGTGTGTTCTGAGGATTTGAGATGACAAAAAGAAAAAGAGAAATGAATGGACAGATATGGCAGCACACACCTGTCATCCCAACGCTTAGAAGGTCAAGGCAGGAGTTCGAAGGCATCCTCAGCTCCATAGTAAGCTTGAGGCCAGCTCAGGCTACGTGAGGCCCTGTCTCAAAAGGCAAACAAAGAAAAATTACTTTTTTCCCAGTCATTTTGAAATTGGGTAGGTACGTCTTGGATTAACTTAATTTACATAATTTTATAGCACACACAGAAATACACACACATGCACAGAGGATTTAATTTGTGCAGGTAGACTTTTATTTGGATAAATATGCTATTAATTCAAATTAATCGTTTTCTAGTTCCCATTTAGCCTGAAAAACAACATCCCTCCAAAACAAAAGAATATTTGTATGTATTTGCATTATCCTTTTACACTGGATTTTTAGTGCTTACATAAATGAATATTTAAATCTAATAAGTTCATGCCAGGTATATCAGTATTTTCACTGTTAAATGTTATTTTTTCTTTTTTCCCTTTTTTATTGGATATTTTATTTATCTACGTTTCAGATGCCATCCCCTTTCCCCATTTTCCCTCCCCAGAAAACCCCTATCCCATCCCCTCTCCTCCTTTATGCTTTTATACCATTTTAATTACATGCATGTATTAAGGTCAATTCTAGGTTAAGGGTCTAGCAATACAATAGATGCAAATAGTCAAGGAACAAGCAAGACAATAAACACAAATAGTCAAAGAACAAGCAAGGCATTAAACCCAATTACATGAACGCTCCCATGATCACTGTTTCTAAGGGCTTATCAGGATGACCAAAGTATCTGAGCCTACTTCCTTGTCCTAGCCCAAAGTCATTTTCATGTCTGAAGCCTACTTCCTTGTTCTAGTTTAAGATTTAAATTCCTCTCTGAAATTACTTCTTTGTTCTTGCCTAAGATTTAGATTCCTGCCTGAGATTACTTCTTTGTTGTAGCCTAATGTCAGATTTCTGCCTGAAGTCCATTTCCTTGTCCTTGGCCAATGTCAGATTCTTGCCACACAGTCCCAAAAACTCTCCAACTCGCCCCCTTTTAATGTTATTTTAAAAGGGGGAGGGGACTGTAGTCCTTTAAACAATATTTCCAAAAAGTGCTAGGAACGTGAAGATATTAAAAGCAGCCTTTACCTTGTGACAAAAGATTCCACAGGAAGATTCAACACACACATCTACTCAACCCAGATAGAGATCCCATGACAGAACAAAGTACAGATACCACCCAAGTCCAACCTGGTGAACCAATGTGTTTTATTGGGGTTACTTACTAGAGCATAAATGACTCAAAGATAGCTGCATCACCATGGCCACCCCAGCATGGGTGACAGTTCACAAAAGCTGGGAAACCTGTAGCACACTTTACAACCTTCGGGCATCTCAGCAGGTTCCAGAGTGTCCTTTCAAAGTGATTCTGGTCTAAACCACTTCCTGGCAGCTTGGCTGGTTTCTGCTTCTCCCAGGCAACTGATCTTGCCTCAAGAGTCTTCTTTGCAGTCTAGTGAATCTGCTTAGTTTCAGGGATTTCCTGGGCTATTTTGAATTATTTCCCTTTCTATATATTTGCCTTTCTCCTATAGGAGAGAGTGCTTCAACCCTCACTGTTACACAATCCAATGCTAGTCTAGGCAAACTGACCTCACACCAGATGCTGGGTATGCCTAAGGGGTTAAGAAGGTTCAGAACACATACTGCTCTTGCAAAGGACTTAAGTTCAGTTCCCAGTACCCATTGCATGATCTATCTTCTGAACTTCTTGGAAACCTCCAGTCACACATACATACATACATACATACATACATACATACATACATACATGCAAAATTTTAAATAAATAACCTTTATTTATAAAATGACCTCATCTACAAGTGGGCATAGTATAATTTGAACATCTTATATAGTTCCAATTTTGAAAAGTTTAAGAAAACCCCCTCAACTTCCAAAGGCTACCTGATGACTTGAAACCAAAAGATGTGTTTAAATTAGAAAGAAATATAAGTTTCTGCAACTATGTTTCGATCCTAAAGACATTCTAATGGCCATTGGTAGCCATAGGAATCGGTAATTTACCACCTAAGATCTTATGTGCACTTAAAATGCTTATTTTCCAACTCCAGATAAACAGTTTGATAGTTTAAAAAATCTAGCTAAAACAGAAGATGGGTGTTTTGCTGGCAGGAGAAAAATCGTATGGGATGGGGAGAAGTAAAGTAACAGTAATTGTTAGCTCTCCTTTAAGTAAACTTTCCCCCTGAAATAGGGGTTGGAATATGAAGGGGAATAAACGAAGTTCCCCTGTAGTGTATCATAGCATGAGTATCTCTGAGTAAAGAAGAAATAGTTCACCTTTGAAATTCTGCAGTTAAGTGGCGGCTCCTGCAAGGGGGACAGTTTGCTATTAATTGTTAATGTCGCCTACCATTAGAGGGCACTAAACAACTCCACATTAATGCGTTGGAGGGAAGAGAAAAGGAAGCGAGGAAAGGGGAGGGAGAGTATGGGCAGAGTCCGGAGAGAGGGAGGGGAGACCGAAGCCGGGAAGGGCTGGGAAAGAGAGATGAGGGGATTGGGAGGAGGGAAAGGGAGGAAGGAGGAAAACGCCTGAAGAGGAAGGAGACAGACAAACAAGCAGACAGACAGAAACAGACAAAATGAATCTAGAAAGATTAAGAAGGATGTGGAGCCCCAGAGCCGTCTAAAGTGAGCAAAAAGCCGGCTCTCCCGGGTCACCCGCTCCCCTCCCCGCCGCTCTCGTCCTCATGACTGTAATTATAAAGCGAAAAGCGGCGGCGAGGTCACCCGTTTTTACCAGCCTGCTGCACCGAATGCGCGCGGTGCAGGTGCGGCGGCCGCGGGGCTTTGTGATTCATGCCCACTTTCAAAGGGGGGCTTGGGCCCGTCTGAGAGGCACCCAAACAACTGTCTTCTAATATTAGCACGGCTGTATTTCGGGATCTATTATAGTCTGTCCAGACAGATCCCATTGTAATGGGACCTTTTATTAAAAGATTAGCACTATCTCCTGCAGTTGGTGGAAAAAAATCTGTTATCACTGAGTTATTTGCAGTTGTGGAGGGGGTGGGAGGAGGGTGATGGAAGATGGGGGTGGGAGGATGAGAGGAGGACCGAGGGGGGGTTCTAGGGCGGGGGTAGAGAAGAAGGGTGAATTTGAAATCCGTAGAGCAAATCCCAATGACCTGGGAATGTCCAAGAATTTTGTCTGCATACTTCGCTGTTTGTTGTCGTTCGGGCTTCAGAAGCGAAAAGACTAGACATTTAAAAGGCAGCTTTGAAATAAACAATATAGCATTTTCCGTGAAGTAATCGTTTTATATAAAAGGAAATATCGCCTCCCCAGTTTCATTCAGCCGTGCCAGAAAATGTTATAAATGAGAAGACCCGCCAACTTTCGGCGAAGAATGCCAGGCATTGCACTCCCATAAACTGAGGCTGCAGAAGTTCATTATCATGGTGCAATCTCTCTCTCTCCTTTAATATGAGAGAGAGGGAGAGAGAGAGAGAGAGAGAGAGAGAGAGAGAGAGAGAGAGAGAGAG